GTTTTCTGCTTATTTTAAATCTATAAATCTATATAGAAATATAAATGACAAACTGACTTTGGTTAACAGCTCTAGTTTATGACGGGACCCCGAAAAAACAAAATTTACCTTTACCAGATATTCATTTGGGGAAAGTTGTGAACTGCCCAAGGAAGAAAAGACAAAGGAAGCTGAAGACATTTTTGCTCGTAGAGAAATTATTGGTTACTTAATGGCTCAGTTTACTACACAGGAAGCATCAACCATAAAGTCACTGCCTTAACACAAATGACGTGACGAGCCTCCTGAGTCACACCTGCTGACAGACCGTCATGTGAAAGTATGTGTGCTGTGCCGTTTTCTAACAGCAGTCAGGACCTAATTAAGAAAGAATTTAGAAAGATCAAATTTAGATCAGCTTGTTTTTGCTGACGAGAGCGTCCACATGCCCGTTGGGTTTCTCTCCGAATGTTATATCTGAGCTGCTTTTCTGCACTGTATGTTCTTTACAGATGTGCTTTTTGATGTGAATCGCAGCGAGTATACTGGTAATGGAAAAAAAACTAAACAAAAAGGTCTATACACATTTAAATGGAATGGCATGTCAATAAGGGATTTTGGTCTCAAGACTGGCCAAACTGGTTTTTATTCACATCGTGCAATTACCTGAAGCACATGAGTCTAACTTTTCTAAAGGTCACTGGCCTGTGGTTTCCCCCCCACACACACACACACACGCGACCAAGTAAAAGATTGTGAGAGGAAGGCAGCTGCAGGAGTGCCTGATGATCTTTCCACAGTCTCATCTAGAAAAATTTTACTTCCTCTTATGAGTGAGCATGGACTCCTATGGAAGGGTGAAAATGCACCATGAGCTCAGCTAAGCAGATCCTCCCTCGGAGTGTCTCCACAGCACTACAAGCACTGGGCGGGGGCAGGGATGAACAACCAGAAGCGAGAAACTACTCAGAAAAGCATTCCTGAAATTATTCCTCCATCAAATTATTAATTAAACCCTGTCCAGAGAAAGACACTCAAAAACGAGGTGGACATGACAGCTAGTACTTTGCCTGGGAAAGAGGAAGGATTCTCCCCCCCATGTTTACTTAATATTATGACTAGTATTGGTTTACATATTCACCTAACAAGCAAAAGATCTCTGGTTGGATCCCGGGAGGATCCTTCTAGTGAAGTGACGCCATCACCGATGCAGATTCTGTCCCTGCTCTATTTATGCTCCCCTCACTGCTTTACCACCTATGTGCAGGTCAGGCTCAGTCACCAGTGAGGAATACATGTAAACTCTAAAATGATGTTTTCAATCAGTTTGCACTTGATATTCCCACTCAGCAGTAAGGATAAATACAAAGCTGACAACGTTTTGTGTTGTTCCCCCCCCCCCTCCTGTCTCGGCATTAGAATTGTTGTCTGAATGCCAAAAAATTCCAAAAAGATTTACTTTCATGAGTGGAGCACTACTTTCTTTTGAGTCGTTACAACCACAACGAACAAGACCGGGTGACTGGAAAAGCCCATTTAGTCACAAGTCTGCTGGCAAAGGCTGATGAATGTAATAAAGCCTTGTGGACTACAATTAAAAAACAACCTCTTGTGCCATTTGTGTGTAATGAACGTTTAAAAAGGAAGTTAGACAGTGTGAAGCTAGTGGTCTGCCTTTGCTCAACATCCCTCTCTTTACTTCACATTTAATAGAAAAGAAAAAAAAA